GTTGCGGAGTCCCCGCAGCGCGGCCGCCTCTCGGAGCCGATCGGGCGGCGGCGGTCGAGCAAAGCCCTTCGGAGGGGAGAGGGCAGGAGGGGGGAGGGAGGGGGAGAGGGTGGAGGAGGAGGAGGCACGGAGCTCAGCGCCATGAGATGCGCAGTCAGGGGCCACCACACCGACCCCAGGAAGACGAGGAGGGGGAGGGGCGAGCCAGGAGGAGGAGGAGGGATAGGAGGAGGGATAGGAGGAGGAGGAAGAGGAGGAGGAGGAAGAGGAGGAGGAGGAGGAGGAGGAGGAGGAGGGAGGAGGAGGAGGAGGAGGAGGAGGAGGAGGAGGAGGAGGGAGGAGGAGGAGGAGGAGGAGGAGGAGGAGGAGGAACCTTGACCTTTGTCAAGCTGGGCACTCTCCGATAAACGGAGACCCACTCGTCACAGTCAGTGCCCAGGCGGGAACCTCACCCCGCTTTTAGGAGGGAGGCCTCGCCCCAAACGAGACAGCACCTCACGGCCCGCCTTGGTGGGGCCTTGAGGTGGGCACAGCTCGGCCAGCGCCTGAACCTTGTCAACGCAGTGCCGGCCGCACACCCTGCAAAACAACACACCCCGCAGGCAGTCCAACTGATGGCTGCTGTGTACGCGGGACCAGCACGGGTGGGCCATGACCACCCCTGGGCCATCGAGTGGCGCAGGGGGGCCCGTGCAACGCCCGGGCATAAAAATCAGCGAGGCGGCCTGCGAAGGCCTTGAACTTACGACCACACACCTGGCACCGCAACGGGCCCTTCTTGGCAGACTCGACCGAATGGCCAGCCACCAACAGCCGCCGACGTCGGACAACATCAGTGGGCAGCGACCTCGGGCGAGGTGGCAGCCTACCAACGCGCTCAGCCTTGTCGCGGTGGCAGGTGAGGCTAACCTCCCAATTGACCTCGAGCAATCGGCGCAGCACTTGGGAGGTTAGCAAATCAACTTCGTTAATTAGTTTGACATACTCGGGATCTACCTCCCCTTTAGCAGCGGCCACCCCAGCAAAATGATCAGCACAGGCATTCAAAAAGCATTCGGCCTCACTGAGGCCCCAGGCGTCACGCAACGACGCCGTAGTATGCGCTTTCGTCCACAACTCAATACTACCAGAACGAGAGTCCATCGCCTCCCAGATCAAAACCCACAGATCTATCATCGGATATGTCCTGGATATCAGCTCACGAGGCCTACGGAGGGCCCCCACCAAGGGAAGGTAATCCGAATGCGCCACGACATCGCCCGTGGTCATGCGCAACAGCTGGAGGAAGGCGATCAACTCAGCCCTAGGACTGGACTGATCACGGGTAGGTAGCGCCCCACGAGGGACTCCATCAAATCTGAAATCGCCAGGTTCCGAGGTCGCATCGATACGCACCATGGCCCAACCGCGCCTCCGAAGTCTCCAGTCGTCCGCATGTATTCCCCCAGAGCCGTCAAGGCCCCAAGTGCCTCCAACAACAGGCGATCCAGCAGATAACACACCCCATCCGAAGACTGAGGGAGCTGGCGGCGGAACACGATTGACGGCGGCAGCCAGCGCAGGGAGCCTCTATTCCAGAAGGCACTCTCTGGACACGTGCGCGCGGCCTCCTGGGCGCCAGGAACCAGATGTGCAGACTGACTCACACCGCTGGGCTCAAACATATTATTGCAACTGCAAAACCAGACACGGTGCATCATCGTTTCATGACCAGCGCCGCATCGAGGGCACACTCCATCAGAACAGTAGCCAGCCTGTCGAAGCCGTGCTTCAGGCCAACATCCACTACAGACAATGCACGCCAGTAGCGCTGCATCTGGATGCTTCCTGTACATACGCCAGAGTACTGTAAAATCAATGCCGTCCTCAGCTCCAACCCCACAGTAGTGCCTGCTTGCCTCCGTCCAGTTCTTCAGGGAAGCCGTGTGCTTCACACCCGGATCCAGGAAATGCAGGAAACCAGATCTCTCGGCACCTGGCACCATCGTGGGGGTCCCCCATCTGGTCGGGGAGACAGGCTCCCAGCCTAGATCCAATAGCGTAGCCACGACAGCAGCGATAGGACCCTTCACCGTCGCCCAGCGACGGTTGGGCGCCAAAGAGAGCAACTTTGCCCGCGCAGAGGTCCAGGTCCGAGACACGCCATTCCGAAGGCCCAGTGACAAGGACTTCCAGATGCCAGCCAGGGCTCCCAGTTGCTCTCTTCGAAGTCTATACGAGGGGTCGTCGGCGTACTGGTGGCGAACAGCCAAGACCGTCGAGGTGCGCATCCCAGGAGACCAGAAGCCCGAACACTTAGCCGCCGAGGCACGGAAAGACGGGACCTCTGAGACAGGTAGGTAATCCCAGCGAACTGTGGCTCCAAGTGCCAACGCTCAAAACACCTGGTTTGAACTGCTTCCGAGACCTCCCGCACAATTTAGCCAGATACTGCAGCTTCCTAGCTCTCCTGAAAGCCGTCCTCCTCCTCAGACGAACCTTCCAAGCGCGCCTTCTCCTCCCAGCCGTAGCACATCGCTCCATGATCCTTCGCCGCCTCCGACACGCCAACAGGGATCTCCACCCGCCTGAACTCTTCAACTACAGCGCGCTGCAAGGACGCACAGGAAGCAACTACGCTACTCTTCGCAGATACCTTGCACCCGCATGCAGCAACGTCGCGGAAGAACTGGAGCACGGCAGAAGGGATCACTCTCATGACGTACTTACTCGTGCCAAGCGCAAGCTGCGTAATGTCATCCACATACGACTGCACAGGAACATGCGGAAGGCGATGGTGCGCGCGATGCAGCGCATCATGCAGCAAGGCTTTCACCCATGGCATCGACTGCGTACAACCAGCAAGGATAGAATTACCCGTGGGGATAACCTTAGATAACATACCTTCAACTTCCAACACGCGCGGCGAGGAATGCACCAGGACCCCCAGGTATAACAACATCGGGGGATACTCTAGCCTCAAGGCCAGCTGCACGAGCATGGATACAACCACACTGTCGAAAACATAACTTCTCCATGTCCCAATGGGCAGCCAACGATTCAAAACAACTGATTGCTAGCCACTTCGAAGCACAGTGCTCGCAGCAAGGCGCCCTGAGGCGCCGACGAGCCTCGGACTGCACAGTCCCAAGGATCGACGTGCTGACGGTTCCAATCGTCGATCGTGCCACCACGCATCCGCGCGTGCACCCTATAGCACGTAGAACACTTAGACACGGCACGTTCATCGCACCCACTCTTAGGTGACATAACCATGATATTTAAGAGGCACGGTGACGGGGGCGTCAGCTCCTGCTCGACACGATGGAAGATCTGTAGGGCCCCATCGAGCGCGTGCGGCGGCAAAGACAACCACGCGCGAGGAGACCATTGATCAACTCCAATTGCCGTCGTCTCATAAAAACAATGCACTAGATCACGCACCTCGAGGTCAGGGGCCTCCATGGCCGCAAGTTGCGCAGAAGCCCTCAACTCCCCAAGGGGCTCCTCCAGCAAACGGCGCCGCACGCTGTCAGGGGTCCACCGCCGACCCCAAACGCGCTCGCGGTGCTCCATCATATCTTTGGGATTCTGCACAACCCCTTTAAAGCACTTGAAGAACTGGACTGTGACCCGATCATTTGCCTTCAACCAGCGGCGCAGCTTAGGGGCGCCACCAGGGAGACACGCACGAAGCCACTCACGAATACCAGCCTCGGCGCCAGAGCGAGCCCTAGCCCAGGCCTTGCAGCCAATATGCGTGGCCTTGTCGACCATGTCACGAACGGTGTCTGGGGTATTCAACTCACCAGCTAAAGCCCCAGACCACCGAGTGGCATCATCCCCAGGGTCATCCAGGGGTTCGATAAATGCATTGGTATCGTTGGACAACCGATTCAACAGACTCTTCAGGTCCAGGGCATGCTTACTCCCAGGGGCCCGGCGGAGGCACTTCAGGTAACCATACAGCCGCGAATGCACCAGGGACCAGAAGCACATGCACCCACAGCAGAATCATTGCTGCTTAGTACCACGCCGCCTCAGAGACACCGAGAACGTAACCAGCCCCAAGCCCCATCCCAAGAGCTCTCTGAGGATCCACTATAGCACAGGCCCTGGAAGCGAAAACGTACTCCGCAGATCTAGACCACAAAGCGTAAGCCCGAAAGAGCTCAAGGGAAAGGACCTCCGAGGTATGCCTGAGAAACGCACCAAACACATCATCAGGGATCAGAACTTGAGGGCCGTCCTCAAGCGCCATGTTGCAATAGTACAGCCACACATGATCAGTGCCGAAAGCAGGTGGAAGACCACAGCACTTCACGCGCCTGGTGACCTCCATGCTAAGGACATCGGCGTCGATCTCGGCCAGCAGGCGTGCATGAGTCTTCAAGGGGGCCGTCAAAACCGCCGTCAAATCAAGAGCGCTGTAAACATCTCTGGAACAGACCGGGAAATCGATCATCGCCTCACCCACGTCACAGGTAAAACCCACGTTTTTTGGGAACCAAGGGACAGGATCGAGTCAACTCAAACCGTCCCGAATCAGCCGACACCTGCGGATCATTGTTGAAATCGCCCAGGAGGATCCAAGGGGCCGACGGGGTCCTCACGAACTGACACATATCGCGCATACGATTCAGATTCCCCCCAGCCGCGCCGATGGAGGCCACCAAATAGCATGCGCCTATCGCAAGAGAGTGCCCATCTAACTTCAGCTCCAGGAAAAGCCGGCAGGCCCCACAGCCAACCTGAATAATCCCAGAACGCTGAGTCAGGAACCTCTGAAACGCTAAACCTTTCTGCGCCAGGAAAGCCACCCCACCATGAGTACCTCCCCCAGGAGAGTCCAGAGCGGCCTGAAAGTGTGGGGCCCACCCCAAAGCACGCGCATCATTCTTAGCATTGCCCAGAGCTGCAGAGCGAACATGGTGCTCAGCAAGAAGGAAGGCGTCCACACTGGACACAGACTGCAACACGTAGGACTTCGTGAGGGCGGAACAGGAGGTAACATTCGCAACTCACACCTTGATCTTCTCACGCTTCTCCCTGGCCCGCCTCCGCTCGGTGGGCGCATGCTGGCCAAAGCTGCGCTGCAGATCCCGATGCGCCTCCAGCGCTCGGGGGAATGGACTGGGGCTGAGAGGCCGCTGCACTGCAAAAGGTACCGCAAATATTCGCATGTGCCGTCTGCTGCTGGACGGCCCTGCGAGCACGCATGCCCGCGCGGGCATTGGCAGCGGCCTGGAGCAACTCACCATACTTCCTGGAACCCTCAGGTCCCAGTCCATGCTCTGCCGCCCGTTTGCGCAAACCACGTAGCTCACCCACGTCAGACACCCCAATGCCCGCGTCGCTGACCTCGTCATCGAAGTCCATCGGGATATCCGCCTTCTGGGACTTGGCCCACTGGAGCACGTTGCGCCACTGCTCCGAGCTGGCGGCCGACCGCCCCTCCAAGCGGGCGAGATCGTGCTCCTCGAGGGTGTGCAAGTTCTGCTCGACCCAGCCGAAGTCGACCATCCCCGCGGGCGTGAGACCAGGAACGAGGGGGCCATCATGAGCTGCACCATGCCCGCCAGCACCCTCGGGGGAAGCAGGAGCAGCTGCGGCGCCCGCCGCTGCGGGTGGGGTGCCCTGAGCAGGGCCAGGTACATGTGCACGACCTCGAGCTTCCTGAGCAGCGCGAGCGTCCAACTCCGCCTGCTTCTGCTCGATCTTCTTCTTCTCGGCCCATGCGTCCTCGTTGAACTGGCTCGCCTCCTCATCCGCCGCGATCTTGCGAACTTCAGCCAGTCGAACCACTTGACGGCAATGCTCCAGAGCAGCACGGACTTTACACAACTGGTCCTCCAGCTTGGTGAACTTCGACTTTTTCTGCTGAAGATCCTGATTGGCGAGCCTGACGGCCTTGGCCGCGTCCTCCGCCACGCGGGCCAGACGAGTGCGCCCCGCCGAAGCAGCACTAGCCAGCTGGGACGTGGTCCACGGCACTGCCGCGGGCGGCGGAGCCTGGATGAATGCCGCCAGACCACTCCGTAGTTCAGGTTGGGCTGCAACCAGCAGAGCAGCCGCAGCACGAAGAGCTCCACCTTGATCTGCATGCGGAGCGCCAGGCTGCCCCACATCGCGCTGGCCACCGCCAGCACCAGGAACCCCAGCGCCAGCAGAGGGCCGAATGCAGTACTCATCGCCGCACACTGTGCAGCACTTGTTGCCGTAGAACTTGAACTCCCAGTGCGAGCATACGCTGCACACATCGTACTCGCCGCCATACTGCTTGCGCCGCCCCTTGCTGCGCCACGGCGCCCGGCGGTGCCAGGACCGCTACGATATGGCTCGATGGGCGGAACACACGGAATCGTGGAAATGCTCCAGCAGGAGCTCACAAACTCGAGCGCACGGCCACTGGGGAGCCTGACCTGGGCTGCCCCGCCAGTGGCCAAACAAGATGTTCTGGCCAGCTGCCCTGACAAATGGCAACTTGAGCCAAAATGGCTACGGGGGAGGAGGAGGAGGAAGGAGGAGGGGGAGGAGGAGGAGGAGGAGGAGGAGGAGGGAGGAGGAGGAGGAGGAGGAGGAGGAAGGAGGAGGCGGAGGAGGAGGAGGAGGAGGAGGAGGAGGGAGGAGGAAGAGGGCGCCCCCCTCGGCTCGGCCGCCTTTCGGGGCCGTTGGGCAGCGGCGGGCGGGACCCCCCTCGGAGATAGTTCGAGGGTCCTTTCCTCCTCCGCCTCCTCCTCCTCCCCCCCCTCCCTCCTGCCTCCTGCCTCCTCCTTCCTCCTCCCCTCCTCCTCGACCTCTCCTCCTCCTCCTCCCTCGACCTCCTCCTCCTCCCCCTCCTCCTCCTCCTCCTCCTCCTCCTCCTCCTCCTCCTCCTCTCCTCCTCCTCCTCCTATCCCTCCTCCTCCTCCTCCTCTCCTCCTCCTCCACCTCCCCCCTATCCCTCCTCCCCCTATCCCTATCCCTCCTCCTCCTCCTCCTCCTTCTCCTCCTCCTCCCGCCTCCCGCTTCCCGCCTCCATCCCTTACCTTATGCATGACTCCTCCCTGTCGCACCCGTCGACGCATCGGTAGGGCGGGCCTGGGGGGTCGCCCGAGACTGCCTCATCACTTGTGATCCTGAAGCGTGACACTTGCAGTAGCTTCACGGACGGAGGGCGTGCCGTTTTCAACATGTGGCACTCGCCTTCACAATCGTCCTAAAACTGTGCAGCGACTTGATGGGTGGAAAGCGGGTGGTGTTCAACATGCCACTCTCGCCCTAGCGCCGTGCAACTTCGTCTTACAAGTTTGCAGCAGTTTCACAGACGGAAGGCGGGCGGTTTTCAAAGTGTGGCTCTGGCCTGAACGTTGCGTAGACTTGTCTGAAAAGGTTGCAGTCGTTTCAAGGACGGAGGGAAGTTCCTTTTCAAACTGTGACTCGCTTCAACGCCGCGCACATTCGTCTAAAACGTGTGTGGTTGAAGTCCCAGGAACAGTGATCTGGCACGAATTGGGATTGTCGTGACGTAGTGGTCACTGGTTCGCGGTGTTGACCTCCCTGGAATGGTGTTCTGGCACAATTTCAGGTTGCCAGGACGCAGTTGTCACGTTGACCCGAGGCGTTGAAGTCCCAATAACTGTTCTCTGGCACGACCGATGATTTTCAAGCGGCTGTCTTTCAATGGGCCACCTCCCGCAACATGTACATCGATTGTTCTAGGGACCTGTGCAGAAGGAGCTCGCAGAGAGAGGGTTGATTACAACATCGTTGATGCGTCCTGGATTTTCACTGGCCTTCTCTCCTCCTCCTGGCTTTTCGCCCTGGACGCTGGTGCCGCTGTCAGGAGGCAACCCTTGACATGCATGCCCTGCCGTTGCAGAGATCACATCAGGCAAGCAACTCTTCCTTGGCTGATTGTAGCGCTGGGAAACATCCTTCTGTCTCCTCCTCCTCCTCCTCCTCCTGAGACTTCCGGTCGCCTCGGGGCGGGAGCGGCGGCGGGCGGGCGGGACCCCTTCCGAGACCTGGAGGGTCGAGGCCTTCGGGCGCTCCTGACCAATCCCACCAGCCCTTCGGGGCGCAGGCGGCTTCATGAGCTCGCCCTTCCAGTCTCCTTTCGGCGGCGAGCCCGGGTGGGAAGTGAGAAGGGGCAGGCCTTCTCAGAAGGCTCGGAAGGCTTCGGGCCTTCTGAGAAGTGTGCTAAGCCATCCCCGAAGACACAGAAAACCTCTCATAAGGGCGGAGGGCTTCTGAGATTCCCCGCCGCCTTCTGAGAAGGGCTTCTCCTTCTCACTTCCCCCCCTCGCTCGCCGTTGATCCTTGTCCCCCTTCGCGAAAAGGGTCACCTCCTCCCCTGCCCCGTCTCCCTGGGTCTGGAACCCTCATCTTCGGGCGCCCCTGGCCAGCCAGGGAGCTTCCCGTCGCGGCGGCTGGATTCCTGGTGGAATTCTGGCCAATGAAGAATGAAAAAAACGCCCCTACCCTGGGATACAAGTGCGTGGTCTGTAAACCACCTGGGAGCTCCCACAGGCCAGAGATCCGCCAGGACGCCGCGCGATACGCAGGGTTACTACTCTCTCAGCCCACAGGAGGTTCAGCGCACAGCGTCTCGTAAACCAGGGTAGGGGCGCTTTTTACACCCTTGAGTCAAGACGCACCCCAGGACTGATCCTGGGGACAGGTTCTTGAGGGGGGAGCCCAACCGCCCTCGCGTCGCACAGCAAACCATCACGACGCCTGGGTTCTCCGCGTCCTTGGCATCACCTGGAGGCCGCTTCCCAGGCCCGCGAGAGTCAGGGAGCACACTGCTGCTTCCACGAGAGGATCCACGTGCTGTTGGCGTTGGTCCTCGACCAGCTTGGCGGGCACGAGCTGGTTGTCTTCCTGGGCATCCCGACGTGTGCCTGGAGGGCGATCGGGTGGATCGCTCGTCTAGCAGCCAGGTGGCGAAAAGGTGGTCAGGAACGGGCTTCTCTAATTCATCGAGCATGGCGAACTGATCAGGCGCGAATTCGAGGTAGGCGTCCTTCTTGGTGACCCAGCTTCAGTCTACACCGTTATTCGAAGTGGCGGGGGTTGGCCACACATTCGAGAGCCAGTGGGCAGGTTTGGCGCGGGCGGTGCCCTTGGCGAGGAATCAGAGGACCACCACCTCAACCAACCTGATGGAGCCGATCATTACCGATCAACCTGGTGCTGCCGCCGCAGATGTCGCAGCACCTCCGTGTTTCCTGCTCATGCACCAGACGTTCCAGTACCGGCGGGGTCTTCGGATCGACCCACCTCGAGCCCCTCGGCTCTAACCAGGTCCTCACTCGATCGAGAGGCAGTGGATGAGATCCTGGAGAATTTTTCTCCGAGTCTGACACCAGGTTCGACTCAAGGCATGGACGACGGCCTTGGACAACAGGGAGGGGCCACATCGTCGTTTTCGCGCCATTTTGGTCGCGGAGCTTGCGCTAGTCTGGCATTTGGGCAGCATTCGAATCAAATCTTCGAGGTGGAGGAGCAGGCGAGTTGCTTGCAACGCTGGAAGGACTACTCAAGCAGCATGCCAGTACAGCGTCTCCAGCCTCAGGGACGGCAAGCCGATCGGGGTCCAGACCACCAAGGCGAAAGACCAAGAGGAAGGATGAAGGCGAGGCCAAGGTCGAGGACATCATGGCCAAGCTTTCCAAGGTATCCGACGACGGTAGGAAGCGCGGGTGGAACACCAAGAAACTTGTCACCGCCTTTTCGGACGTCGTGAAGGCTGCCAACAGCAGCGATGGCGTCCCAGCAGCCGCAGCAGCAGCAGCAGCAGCGGCGTCAGCTTCAACGACGCCTCCGAGACCAGCTAAACGCCAGGACAAGCCTTCGCAGCAGACGCCACAATAGCAACGGGGTCCTGACCGAAAGCAGCTAAGGCAGAGCCAGCTAAGTTGCCGCGACTGGCTGTACACAGCAGAGGGCACGTTGTCAGTGCCAACGGGCTTCGACACCGACTTGATACAAGAAAATTGAGCCGCCGCCAGGGGGCAATCTTGGCTGAGACCCACTCCGAGAAGATCATGCCGCTCCGCGACCTGGCTAGATCCTCGGGCGTCAACCGCAACATCAACATCGTTACCAGAGGTGAACCTCACGTTGAAGGTGCCAAGCCAAAGCAGAAACGGCTCCGCATCGACAGCAACGGCAAGACAGCGCCACTGGAGGCCCTGTACGTCACCCCCCCGTGCTCTACGGCGCCCAGCGTCCCAGCGGTGGAGGTGCCGAAGGCGAAGGGGGCCATGGCCTCGGACACGGTACCGAGGGCGACCGAGCCTACCCGCATCACAGCGGTCGAGAGGTGCGCCCGCGAAGACAAATGGAAGGCGAGCATGATCAGCCCGATACACTCTCTTTGGGATGCCAGTGCTATCACATGTGCGTACGGCTTCAGGACCCTGGAGAGCTGGGATGCGAGATGCAGGACATGCTCCGCGTCGGTCCAGCAAGGCCGAGCGGGAGATGTGCCCTGTCACTCTGGGCAGGCCGGCCTTCCTGCCTAGCGCTGGGTCTGGCGACGCTGGTAGGGCGTGCGTCGAGTGGATCGGCTGCGGCATGGACGAGGAGGACAGGGCGTACCTCTGCCGAGCTCGGCGTCTGCAGGGACAAGGTTCACGATGGTTTCCTTTCCGAAAGAGGAGGGCAGGCCTCACCAGGTTGGCGGCTACCAGAGAGCAGCGAAGCTGGACTACCTGACAGAGCCCTCCCGTGGATAGTCAGGGACGCACCGCTGTGCTGGGGCTGCGCTGATGTGTTGTAATATCCCAGACAAAATGACTACACATCTCTTTCGCTTATCAAGCCAAGATGGGGAAAGAAGGGTTGGGTGGTCAAGACTAAGGCTCCCGCAGGAGCTACTGACAACAACATCTTGAAATTGAGCGACGACTCGACCGTTCACATTACCCGCGACATCAGAAGACCTGAAGGTATGAAGGCACGACCGTTGAACGCCAAACCTGAAGGAGTCCGCCAGGGCCTCAAGGAGAGCGAGTACAAGCGTCGCCCTGGAAGCACACACACACACACAGTCAGGATGACAATGACGACGATGGCGCTGCTAGCGCAGGAGAGCGAACAGACAAGAACGCGGACAAAGATACAGAGATGGGAGACCCTGCCAGCTCAGACGCCAGCGAGCTGACCAAGGGGGGCGTCCAGATGGTCCGCAACGACAAGCAGA